ATGTATATTCAGAGATATAAACTAGGAGAGATGGATACGGATTGACTGAGACATCGACCTGAGTAACATATAATTGAAGATATAACAGCAATAAACAACATTTTTACAGCTCTGAGAACCCAGACAGTATTTTTAATTTCTTAAAATTGGATCGTTTTGAGAACTTCATGACTACTACCACTGCTGACGGCAAACCTCTTGCTTATTATCACACCATCGAACGTTTATAAGGACGAGAGGAATAAGGTATGTTGTGTATTTTGTATTATGTACTGTATGATGGGGTAACGGTTAACAGCGCGTAAAGTGATGTTAGCGAATATTCCGGCCGAGTTCACTTCATTTAGAAAAGGCATGAACACATTATTTTCTCTGTTATAGGTTAAATAGTAAATTAAATTGGGCTTTCTAACTTTGAGTAGCAGGCAGTCTAGGAGGACAAATTTCGATTCAAAAGGAAACGATAAACTATTCCGTTATCTTTTCGTAAAAATCTTCACAATTCCAAAAATGATAAAGAAAGGAATATGTGGAGGGCCACGATCACCTACGGATTGAAGGAATATAACATTTTAGTCTACCGAACAAACCAGAATTAATTATACTTTCCATCGGTGACCCATTAATGCTTTGTTGTTGTTCTTGTCTAACAAACGTTGAGTACGAGAACTTACGAGATTACCAACGAGATTTGTGAGTGTGCCTCTGGCAACAACCATTAACTTGTAACGAAGTATCGAAAATACTGGCGGGATTTGGAATTTCGGTATACAAAATGACAACTGCTTAGAACGAAAGATATTTGAAGGAAGGAAAGGTGAAAATCAGGGAAGATATAAACAAATGAAAACTGAAAGAAAATGTTTCAAGGAAGAAAGAATGAATAGAAAAAGCAAAGGAATAAATTTACGCAATAACGTGATTTTTAACAATTTGATCACGTTACGTCTCCAGTGTAATGGGCACAGCCCTTATGACGTGCATAGATATTATGGCAACAGAAATGTAGTTCTACAGAAGGATGCTGAGAATGACATGGACGGGACAAGTAAGCGACGAAGAAAGACTTAAAGAAAATGTAAAAGACATTTCTGGGACATATAATTAGGGAAGAGGGCTTCGAGAATTTGACACTCACACGGCATTTCAAAGGCAAAAGGGAGAGGAGAAGAAACTGACCTGATTGTGTGAATGGATACCAGAGTAGGGGTGGCATGGGGAGAAATGGTAAAAACACAAACGTTACTAAGAGTTACAAGGGATTTGACGTTGTGGAGAGCCATGATCATCCTCTGCCCCGAAAGGACGCAACACATAGAAGAAGAACCGAGTAAACATTTATAAAAAGATATATTTACAAGATTTTCCTTCAACTCCCCCAAGGTCAGATAAGGTTAAATGAGTAAGAAAACTGTTTAAGTAGGCAAAGGTCTATTCAGGTTAAAAAGAAACATCAGATAATCCTACCTTTTACCTAAACACGACCTCTGGGTCTAGTTGTAAAACTACAACTATCTCAATCACCAAACCTAAATCTAGGTAGTGTAAACTCAAAGTTATTCAATAGAGGAATTGCTGAGAAGGTAATGGAAGAGCAGGCGAAGAATAAATCGTCCAATTACAGCAAATCGATGCCTGCAGCTTGTATCGATCTAGCTTTTAACTCATAGCGCCCTCTACTGGGAAACAAAATAGGCATATGTCTTATGACTTCCCTCTTTTAATGATGGCTAAGCGATGTTAAAGAGAAGTTCCTTTGAGTCTTTCAAAACTCTCGAAACTTTCAAAGTCTTCTTTTCTTTTGTTGTTGTAGTTAATATTTTACTAGACAAGAAATTTCTGGAATTATTCAGGGCAGATCTGAGATGAGTTATTATCAACATTACATATATTTTTCGAAGGTTTTTTTTTGTTTTAATATGTTTCTAAAATTATTTTCGACCGATTTATTTTCGGTTCTTCACAGGTCTACACAGTGGTTTTGAGGAATTGTTTATGAGGGGAGTTAAATATGGATTCCAAAAGAAAATTTTGATGCGTGATCAGATTTTTGGCTGTTAGTTACGCCGAGATCTTTTCAGTCGTCATGATTTCTTTTACATTTAATATGTGTAAGAGAATCACGGGACTGGGTGTTAAGGTCTCGTATTGATTCAAAAACAGACGAGATTGTATGAGTATAATCTCAACTAGAATGTTCAGGTCTTTTTTTAATCATTTCACTCCAAGCAAGGAAATAAAGCCAATAAGACGCAAGGAGGTTAGCGAGTGTGAAAGAATAAAAGAAAAAAGTAACGTTTGACATTGCATTTACATTTTTGAAGATCATTTCTTACTGGAAAGGAGAGCGTTTCACGAGCGAAAAGTATGAGAGAAGCTGTAGAATTTACGGTTGCATCTAGCCATTTCAACTGTAAAATGATGAGACCTAGCTGCCGATTTAGTACTGAACTTAAATTCGTAAACTCGTGGTATGAAAGAGAAAAGCTCATCAGAACAATTACAATGAAAATATATAAAAGCAGAGGCAAGTTAGGTTAGGGCGATGGGAAAGTGACTGAAGACGACATGCCAAGTCAGGCGCATTGGGATTTTTCTTAGGATTTTATCAAGAATCTCTATGAAGACATGACATCATCACCATCTTCTGTATCCCTGAATCCTGTTCTTTTATTGTACTTTCTCTTAACTAAAGTCTTCTCATTCTCTTTCACTCCCAGTAACCCCTCGCGTCTTAGTGGCATTATCGCCATCTTCTGTCTTCCTGAAACTTGTTCTTTTATTCTCCTTTTTCCTCACTAAAGTTTTCTCATTCTCTTTCGCTTCTTTTCGCTACCTCTTGCGTCTTAGTGGCATTATCGCCTCGCTGGGGATGATTAAAAATAAAAATATGTACAATTTATAATAGATTACGCGTCACTGTTACAAGGGTTTTATTAATTTTATTGGATTTTCCAAGTTCCTTATTTATTAGCCAGGTTGCTTAAACTCCAAGGAGAGCGATTCTAATTAAATATTATAACTGCAGAACAAGCGCAAAGTTTACAATGACAAATATTTTGAACAAAAAATGATGTGAGATTTTAATGACAAATATTAATGTCAATTGAGAAAACGGTTTTCTGAAATCGTTCATGCACCGTTTTCTTTGAGTTAATGTATTTTTTCCTGTCAAATAAACGGCACAGTATCCGGAAAAGCAATCCAGTAATAATCAGTACTGATAAATAGACATTCACCATAATAAAAGTGTTTCTTGAAAATTCAACACAAATTTTCAATCGGTTTAACAGGCGATCATTTCAGTGTTTTATTAATTTTTGTTTTGTGATGGAGCATTGATATGCATAAAAATATTTATCATCTCTTTAAAAGCGTTTGGCTTGAACTATGGCTTCACGTGTGCCTTCAGAAGAACCAAAGCATCTCTGAGCTGGTTTCTTAACACCATCATAAGTTGGTTTCCATCAGGAGTCACCAATTCTATGTTTCATCCGTTTGACACACTGAGGTTAGCGTTCTTCAGTATAATATACAATTTTTGTTATCTTCATAGGCACCCAGTAAATGGTGACTAGTGATTTTTCTAACATGTTTTTCACTTGATTTTTGCGTCCTGGGTATGACGATAAACTACATTCAGCAGCAAGGCCTATGATCAGGAGGTTTTGAGGAGCATGAAACCATCTCTTAATTGCTGACGTTTCTAGGTCCACTCTGACCCAGGGTGGTAGCATCTGTCAGGGTCCCAGCTACGGGGAAAGAGTTAACCCCACAAAAGTGGTCAAAACACTATGAAAGAGTAAAAATTGATCTTAATACCAGTAATAAATTTTTAGAAAAATTATTGCCAGCAGTACATTTTTGAAAAAGAAAAAAATATCCCAGCAATACATTTTTGAAAAAAAGATTTTACCATCAATGCATTTTTGGTAAAAAATTATTACCAGTTATACATTTTTGAAAAAAATATTAGCAGCAATACACTTTTGAAGAAATATTATCAACACCACAGTTTTCGAAAAAAGAATTAATAGCAATAAAAATTTTGTCGGTATTAAATAACCCATCGAGGTTGATATGCAAAACAACCCAAACCAAACCAAACCCACTTGAGTTGCGAGCCAACGCCTTTTGCTTCTCGACACTCATTCACTGTCAAAATACCCAACAATTTCAAAGCCTTACAAAGACAGAGTTTTCGAATAATTTCTCTCTTGATTCTGGATACAAATCGATGAGATAATGTCCTTAACTTGCTCTTATGGAACCTGCATCGGAATCGTCCAGGATCTTCAACAAACTCCTTCATAATTTGATGCTGCCTGTTTTTACAATTTCTAGTGTTTTCCTTTTAAGCTTTTCGAACTCTGATGTTATTTAAAAATCCCTTTATCCATCCAAACAAACTTAGCACTCATTTGAAAGCTTCAAACTCGCAATGTCAACTTCGATAAACAGAACATTGCATATAAAAAGCTGTCGTTTATTCACATCTGCGCAGAATGAACCGGTTTTCATTTCAACTGCGCAGGTCGATGTTGCAATCGTTTAGAAAATTAGACTTTTCATTCTAATAAGAATTTATATTATAAATCGATAAAACATGAAATTACTAATAATCTGAGACGCAGTGCAGTCAAAATTGGATGACTTTATTCTTAAATATGTTCAGATTGTTGACTCCTGTCATAGGTTAACAGAAAGCCAGTTGATTGATTGATTCGTTTTCTAAGACTTATTAATCCTTTGCAGGTTATTTAAAGTCAGAAAATATATTTAAATTGTAATATTTTTTTTGTGGGGGATATAACAATGGTTTAATGATGAAAGTTTTACGACTTAACCTAGAGAGGGGTGGAAAAGAGGGGGATTCATATCTTTCCCAAGGGTATTTGCGCCTAAATGAATATAACGAACCCAACTGGAATTGGAAATTGGCTCTCCGATTAACAATTAAGAAAGATTATCCATTAAACCACCCGCACATCCAAGCTTAGAACCCCTGGTATTCCCAAGCGATCACCGATCTAGGTACTGATCAGGCTCGATGTTGCTTAACTTCGGTGATCGTACAGAGACGGGTGTTACAATGTGATGTGACTGTAAGCCCAGAAAGACAGTTCAGAAGATTCGAAAATATTAGAATCTAACTACATGCTTATTACATTGGACCAGGATTATTTAGCAACGAAATTAGAATGAGAGTCTGCTGCAAAAAGCCACACAAGACGAAAGAAATATCAGACAAAATTCAATAATAATTGACAATCTAGGAAATTCAGACAACTTAAGACTGTTATTACGAAGTGTAAAAGAAAGCGAATTAACTTGAAAGAAATACTAGTCAAGAATTAATACTAATTGACAGTATAACATTTAAGAAATTTTGACACTTATTACTTCAAGGTGTAAGCAAGAGAAATGGAAAAACGACATTAGTCAAAATTTTGTACCGTAATTCCCCATGTATGATACGCATTTTTTCTAAAAATAATAAACAAATTAGAGGTGCGTATTATGCACAGCTACAAAAAAATCTTTAAAAAATTGCCGTTTCATAGGTCTATTTCTGTTGCGAAATGACTGCACGCCACAAAAATACGACAATTTGACACTAACATTCGGAGATTGCGACTCCATAAAGATGTCAAATAAAATCATATGAACATAATAATAATTACAAATGTAAAATAAAATAAGAATTATCATAAAACTAAATTAGAATAATATTCTATGTTTAAAATCATTTTTAATAAGAGTAGGAAACGCTGGCCATAATGATATTGAAGAGGTACAATTTATGAGGTTTGATTACCAAACAAGGGGTGATTATTATGCATGAGTACAAGCATTTTCCCACATTTTCAGCACAATTGTAGGCGTGCATATTATACATGAAGGCGAATTATACATGGAGAATTACGGTAATCACTGAGAATGCCTTTAAGAAATTCAGTCATCTTAAGATTATTATTAATACTTAATACTAATTATTAAGTGCAACAGCAAGGGAAATAAGACGAAAGAAAAATTTTCTAAAACAGAATATGAATGGGCGCTAAAGGATTCTCGGTATGAATGTCTTCCTAAAATCAGTGTCTTAATGATTAAATATGAGATTATTGATATTGGGAATTGTGTCATGACAAGCTCCTTGTAAATAGCAAGACGGGTCGCCGTTTGATGGGAGGTTCTAAGTTTAAGACAGGGAGATAATGACGAGAGAAAAGGCAAAAATCACGCCCGAGAATAAGGCAGCGCGATTGTCTTTTTGTTTCGTCTAGCAATCGGATACACAAAGAAGTTGTATGTGACTGGTAGCAACATTTCTTTTGCTGGTCACTTTCGAGTGTCGTCATTGGCAGCTTCATCGACGATTCACGCACGAACTCTCCGGTTTGAGTATATATTGCTATCCAGCGAGGAGAATAAACTTGGCTTTTTGTTTGTTTTTTAATATCCACTTCACTGTCTGCAAGCAATCATATTTATTTTGCTTCAAGTTCTGAGAAATGTTAGCTTGTAATTATATATATATATATATATATATATATATATATATATATATATATATATATATATATATATATATATATATATATATATTTTGAAAATAAGAAAAAAAATTAAAAATTAAAATCATTAGACACACTGGGTTGTAGATTAATATTCTTTCGTTTTTTATTATTATTATTCCATTTAGATTCCTCGACTAGTTTCTGACCGAAATGGCCATCATCGGGAGGAGAAATTAAATATTTCTGCTTGCTGTTAGCAGAACTACAGAAAATCTCTCTCTCTCTCTCTATATATATATATATATATAATATAAATAAATACATGTATATATTATCCCTCATCAGCTTTATATTTATATATATATATATATATATATATATATATATATAGATAGATAGATAGATAATAAGATATATCTTTTATCAGTTTTTTATATATATATATATATATATATATATATATAGATAGATAGATAATAAGATATAATATCTTTATTAGCTTTTATACATATATGTAATTTAATTTTTTATATTATTTATATTTTATATATATATATATATATATATATATATATATATATATATATATATATATATATATAAATTTATATGTGTATATATATTTTCTTCAATTTAAAAAATATATATGCTCTGTTATAATAAATACATTGAGTTCTATTTCTGGATCTGTTTTAATATTTGATATTATTAGGATCCACCTGAATTATATACCAACATATCTATTACCTGTACTATATATATATATATATATATATATATATATATATATATATATATATATATATATATATAAAGCGTATCATTAAACTAAGTGAAGCTATCTTTTTCAAAGTTCAATCACCCTATTTAAGACATGGACATCCGTTTCTCTTGTTCTCGTTTTCTCTTTGTTTTTGTCTATATATATATATATATATATATATATATATATATGGTTCGGTTATTAATATTTCAGTCTCTCACGTGATACGACGTCATAGAACCGTATCATGAATTTAAGACCTGCTTCTGCTATTTCGCGACCGTTATCATCGTAGAGCAATCTTCTATGTCAACATAACAGAATATTATATTTGATGGTGAATATCTTTGTTTAAATATAACCACTCTGAAGATGGCTTATGTGAACCGAAAGATTAGATCAAGGAACAGCTTAATAAAAAAAAATAATGTTGGACAATTTTTTCTTTATTTTTTTATTTTCACCAGAAATTAAAGTAACCATACAAAGTTTAGAACGCCTCGTAATAGGTATTCATTGTCTGTTATATTTAACTATATATATATATATATATATATATATATATATATATATATATATATACCGTATTGTTCGCTTTTAGAGAACGAAACTTTAAATTAAAAATAATCCAAATCTATGGATTGGATCGTGACAGAAATTGCTGCAGTTATTCTTAAAAACTCGTTCATAGGAATGGCAAATTTATATAAAGAAGTGCCAAAGAGCAAGTTGCAGAATAAAAACTATTATAAAAAAATGTAGCTTCCAAAACGTGTAAATATAAATGTGATTTAAATTAAGAACATGGTTGATTTTATGATGGGACAAAATGTTAACAAGACGTGTAAACTCCATGGCTTTTAATTCATTTTGCACATCTACGAGCAATGGGCATCGCTAATTAGTCACGTTATTCAGGCGTGATATTTTCCCATTTCTCCTGAAGTTTCTCTCACAAATCACTCAAAGTCAACAGTTTTCTTGCCCTCACGGATTCTTGTACAATCATAGAAGTTAAGCAACATCGTTCCTGGTCAGTACCTAGGTGGATCATCGCTTCGGTATACCAGGTCCTATAAGCTTCGACGTAATGAATAACGGTTCGGTATTGTTAATCAGTGATTTGAGGTCAGATTCTAGTCGGGTTCGTTATATATACTTAAACCAAAGTACACTTGGGAAATGTTAAAAATCCACCTCTTCTTCCCCCAGCTCTGGATTAATTAGTAGGTCTTGTATCAGTAAATAATTATTATCTCCCTCAAAATTCTTACAATCTAAAAATATTTTCAGGCTTTAAATAACCTGCAACCTGTAAGAAATCAATGACTCCAAATTTTACCGTCATATTATTACCGATAATCATTATATATATATATATATATATATATATACATATATATACATATATGTACATATATATATATATATATATATACATATATGTACATATATATACATATATATACATATATGTACATATATATATATATATATATGTATGTACATATATGTACATATATACACACATATATATATATATACACACATACATATATATATACATATATACACATACATATACATATATACATACATACACATACATATACACATACATACATATACACACACACATACATATATACACATACATACACATACACACACACACACACATATATATAATTTATTTGGATGGAGATGTGGATTTGGTTGGGTCATACCATAAACACATCATGTCTAAAAGCGAAGTAATTGTTTTTTTTTTCATTTTTAAGTATGGAAGTATTGGAGTATTGCATGACATAAAGATTGACCCAGGAGAGGTGCTCTTTGGGAAGGAAAATAAAACACAGTTCTTTGCTATGTCGGCCAATGAGTAGGCCAACGCCAGCGTCAACGCACGCCTTCCATACGAATACGCCACCACCTCCATTTTCAACCGTGTTTTTCACACATTTGGAGAAACGACTTCTCTTATTTATGCAGTTTCATATACTGCTTGTCAGAACTAACCAAGGTAAATTTACTTTCATCTCTGAATAATACTCATACCAAGTTTTCATTGGTTAAGATGATGGGCTTGTTTGTAAAGGCTAGATAATCTTTTTAGTTATTCTTGCTGATGAGGTTTGGTTTGGTTTATTTTGTTTAACGGCATATCAACCTCAATGGGTTATTTAATGCCGACAACATTTTTAGGATAGATTCGTATGAATAGAATATGTATTCTTTGGTTTAGATTGGTTTGGTTTATTTTGTTTTACGGCATATCAACGTCAATGGGTTATTTAATGCCGACAAAAATTTTTATTGCTGGTAATATTTTGTTTTATCAAAAACTTGTTTCTGGTAATATATTTCCTTCAAAATTGTATTGCTGGTAATTATTTTTTCAAAGAAAGTATTGCTGGTAATAGTTAACTATTTTCCCATAGCTGGGACCCTAACAGGTGCTACCACCCCGGGTCAGGGTGGACCTGGGAACACCAGCAATTAAGAGGTGGTTTCACGCTCCTCAAAACTTCCTGATCAGAGGCCTTGCTGCTGGACGCAGTTTATCGTCTTGCCCAGGAGGCGGATGTAGTTTAACATCTTATCCAGGACGTCTTTCTGATGAGGAGTTGATGACAGAAACTGAAAGAATATAAATGATCTAACAGTCTTCTGAGTTATTTTCATGCCAAATTTATCCGTTACTTGACATGCAATGCCCGCTGACGTATCAAGTCGGTACGCTCCAGAGCCTTTGATTTGCCCTCTTCTGACCTGGTGCTATTTTCCGTCGCAGCAAAGGAACCTTTATCATCACAAAGTT